TGTATACATTTTCAATTCCATCATTTAATTTCATCCTTCTCTGTGCTCTTAGGACACTTTGACACATGAGTTAGGTTTTGACTCATGAGTAGACTTTGAACAGATAGAGAAAAGCAACAGGCATTCAGGGAGCAGAGAGTCTGCCAAGGCATGGAGTGGTGAGAGCACAGTGTGTGAAGATTTGGGGATGGAAGAATTTAAGAGTGTAGGAAGGAAGTGGTGTGGGGATGAAGCGTGCAAAGGTTGACAGCCACCAGATTATCCAGGGTCTTGCATGTCATGCCAAGGTGTTTGAATTTATCCCCTGGGCAGTGGTGAGTCATTAAAAAATGTTACACAGAGGTTGACTTGCTCAGATTAGTGCTGTGGAAAAAAAATATCTCTGCATTGTAAATTCTTTTCAAAAATCCTGAACTCTTTCAAATATATAGATGAGTATAGGGAATATATATATATTTGGCAACATAAATGCTGCAAAAGTGTACCCTGGAAAGGTTTGTAACTTCAGTAAATTTGGATGAAGTTTGCAGACACAGCTAAGTTTATACATCTGAGCCCGAACGAGGGCTTGTGTGGCCTGTGTAAAATAAGTGCCTTTGAACTCGATCACAAGCTTAGGAATTTTGTACCATTGATGTGATATTCCTGTTTTACCACCACAACAGGCTAGTTGTTACTGTACTTCTTAATTGAACATGCTTTGTAGCTAAAGGGCAAATGGTAACTTTTAATTAGCAGCATTTTCAATTACTTTTCAGTCTACATTCAAAAAGAAAAATGACTAAATTTTTTTTTTCTTCTAAATTTTATTTATTATGGTTGTTGAGAATTTGAAATATAGTTGGTTTGTAAAAACAAAGACTTCTCTTTGTGGCAGAAAAAACAGCCCCTAGGGGAGAAAATTTTATTTTTGCAGGAAGCGTTGGAGGATGGTATTTTAGAAATATTGCGTGGGTTGCCAACAGTGATTGTACTTTTCCAGGTAAAGAGAGAGCATATGCCAGGTGGACAGTCAGTGGAAAACAGCCACATGTTCAATTAAAATGTTTTAGCAAATTTAGTGAGTCGGGTGGTTTTTCATCTTTATCTCAATTTTCAGCACATCAAAAGAATTTAACTTTAATTGCCTCTTGTAGGAATTAATCTGTATGGAAGCCTATCTCTAAATAGCCAGAGAAGCCATGCCCAAATGTGAAGCCAATCTTTTCTCCACACTTGCAAGTGCCTCACAGAGATTTGCTCACATGTAAACAGACCCCTATTGGGTTCCTATTAGTAGAGTTAACAATAACTTATTTTAAGTTGAGATTTTAGAAATTCTAATAATATATGTGTATATTTTCTTGTCCATTAAGATTCCTGGTTCTAAGCAACAGAAACTGGCTGGTTATTTTAAGCCAAAACAGATTTGACTGGAAGGTAGCTGGGGAGAGGAGAGAGACACACAAATAGATGGGAAGATGGAAAGTCTGATGTGGAAAATTGCAGAAACCGAGGAGCTAGTAGAAGTCTGGTTTGTGTGTGGCCATTGCTGCTGCAAGGAATCTGGCCTGCAGAAGTTTCCTCTGTTTTGCTCATGGTTCAAACTGCCAGAAGCAAGTATCTGATAGGCTTGCAGAAAGTAGGTAATTGAAAGAGGTAACTCTGTCCCCTTAAGTTCCTTCTTGTTGTTGTGCCATCCAGTCAATTCCTACTCATAGCAACCCTGTGTGACAGAGTAGAACTGACCAATAGGGTTTTCTTGGCTGCAGTCTTTATGGAAGTAGATCATCAGGTCTTCCTCCTGCAGAGCCACTAGGTGGGTTCAAACCTACTACCTTTCAGTTAGCAGCCCAGCACTTAACTCTTGCACCACGAGGGCTTCTACAGTTCCAGAGTGGGAGGCAACAGGTACTACTGACTAGCCTACACCAAATGAGTAATTGCACCCATAGAGAGACCACAGGAAGGGGGGCGATTGAATGCTATAAAAATGAACAGTTTGCTACATTTGGTATTTTATTGTTTGGTGCTTTGCCTTTTTTGAGTTTAATAAACAAACATCTGCCTATAGCAACTCAAAGGAGCTCTGGTGGCACAGTGGTTAAGTGCTCAGCTGCTAACAAAAAGATTGGCAATTTGAACCCACCAGAACCTACGGCTCTGTGGGGGAAAGATGTGGCAGTCTGCTTCCATAAAGATTACAGCCTTGGGAACCCTATGGAACAGTTCTACTCTGTCCTATAGGGTCTCTATGAGTTGAAACTAACTTGAAGGCAATGGTTTTTTTTTTTTTTTTTTTTAAATAGCAACTCAGGATTATCTGTAGTACTGCAGACCCAAAATTGTCCATTTGAATTATGCTTGAAATGTTTTACTCTTTTCTTACCTGCTACTACTAAATTACTAACAAAAAGGAAACAGGTTACACAAACTAACAACAACAGGAAAAGTTTTCTTTACTTCAAAACATATCAGGATCAGAGGGAATCTTGATTAAAACTTAAATAGATGCATGTGTACAGACACATACATTAATATACATTTTATTTAATATTCTTAAATTTTTGAGAATCAGTTGCATAGCTGATACCCCTAAAAACTTCAGTGGTACTTCTAAAAACAAATTATTTTACATAACCATAGGATAATTATCAAAGTCAGGAAATTAACTTTGGTGTAATACTATTATCTAATCTACAGACCTTATTCAGATTTCACCATTTGTCCCAATGATGTCTTTTATAGCAAAAGAAAACGCCAGGTGTTGTGCTGTATCCTGTTCACATGTCTCTTTTGGTCTCTGTAATATGGAATAGCCCCAAATTAATCTGGCAAGAAAGTGTTTCTTTGTATTTTAAGACAGTGATATATTTGAGTAATATAGGCCATTATTTTCTATACTGTCCCCAGTTTGGGTTTGGCTGATAACTTCCTTATAAATGGAATTAGGTTACTATGCACTTTTGATAAAAGAATAACAAAAATGGATGGAAGTTGTAAATGAAATCTATCTAGAGTATTAGAAAGACACTTGATTATGTTTTGTATGACATGATTAGAGAATTATCAATTCTTCATACTGAAGAATGAAAAATACTAAACTTTGTGTCCATGGAGACTTTAGAAGGGGATGTGCACGGATAAGCTTCATGGAGTATATGAAACCCTTTAGATTGTAAGCCAATTTTTTTTTTTTTTTAGTTTGCACTTATGTATATTTTCCTCTGAAAGGGTCCATAGCGTTCAGCAGATTCTCAGTGGATCCCTTGAATCCCTCCAAATTAAGAAATACGTGTGGAATGGTATGTTGAAAACCTACCACCCGTCTGGCAGTTTGTCTTACTGTGGTGACCTACATGTTACTATGATGCTGGAGGCTATGCCACCTGTATTCCAAATACCAGCAGGGTCACCCATGGTAGACAGGTTTCAGTGGAGCTTTCAGAAAGTAACACACTGGGAAGAAAGACCTGGTGGTCTGCTTCTAATAATTAGCTATTGAAATCCTTATGGATCACAATAGAACATTTTCTGACTCGCTTTGGACACGTCATCAGGAGGGATCACTCACTGGAGGAAGACATCGTGTTTGGTGAAGTAGAGGGATAGTGAGGGCAAGGAATACCCTTGGTGAGAAAGATTGGCACAATATCTCTGAGGATGGACTTGAACATGCCGGTGATCATGAGGATGACACAGGACCGGGCAACATTTTGTGTTGTACATAAGGTCACCACGAATCAGAGTTGATACAATGGCAGCTATCAGTCAATCTATCATCTGTCTACCTATTTAGGTTGAAAGTAGCACTAGACTAGAATCATAGCCCCAGACTAGCTATTCTCAGTGCAGTTGTAGACCAATAATTTAATCTGTTTAAGCCTTAGTTTCTTCATTTCTAAAATAAAAGGTTTAATTAAGGCTAAATCCTCTCAATAGATATATCACAATTGACAAGTGCACCTTAAAGATCTTTGTGACTTAGGCAGACACAGGTGAGGTTTTTTGTCCCTTACAGTGTTGGCTCTTACAGCATATGAAGACATTTGAAACTTGATTTTAAGTTTCTTTTGAAGAAGTATATGACCTCTTTACTCTGGGCCCACATTACAGCACAGTAGAAATTTGGAACTGATCAGTGCTAACACATTTGGACAGACTTGTGCACTCAGGTTCTCTGTAGTCTCCATCATGCTCTGTAGTACCACACTAGCCTGCTCCACTTATTTATGTGATTTTCCTGCCCCTGGAATCATTTGAATCAGTGTCCTCAGATATACATGATATGCTTTTCAGCTGGGGAATGAGAAAGGATAATAGGGAGGTGACACAATGCTAAGAATACATGACCTTTGGTGTGCTTGTACTGAGAGAACTCTGAGGCTCTCTGTCTTCCTATGTGTTCCCTGATTATGGAGGAACGCCCTTTACTGAAAAGAGTTTCCCTGCTTGGTGTAGATGCTGAAAACGAATCACCAACTTGTATCGCACTTCTTGGATGACACTCTTAAGCATTTTCCATTCACCAGTATTTCAGGACGTTGTGTTACATTAGGCTTAATAGATGCCAAGTTAGAGTAGACTAGAGAGAGAGAGTCTGAAAGTGTAGAAAAGCATATAATAAAACTGCTCAGGCCTTTTGTTTGTTTACAGTAAGTAAAACAAAAGCTGAGGTAATTGTGCATTTCAAGTAGCTTCATTAACTAGATCAGGGGTTGGCAAAATTTTCTGGAAAGGGCCAGTTAGTAAATATTATTCACTTTGTTGGCCATAGGGTCTCTGTTGCAAGAGTGAAAGCAGCCTTAGATAATACATAAATATGTAAATGAATAAGCACAGCTGTGTTCTGATAAAACTTTATTTTAAAAAACAGGTGGATTTGGCTCGTGGGCTGTAGTTTGCCGACCCGTGTGCTAATTACTCATTAGAATATGGAGTCTGATTTTAAGAAGGGCTTAAAGATCTTCAACAGTAATCACAAAAGTGATTAAATAGGTTACTACTACAGGAGGTATTAGAAAAGAACACACACAGGAAAAGCAGTCTAGTACTGTTTAATTCCACCAAAAGGAGGCTGTTGGTGATATAATTTATGTTTGACATAAAAGATAATTTCCTGACGATGAAAGTGGTTACATTTTAGAATGAATTACTAAGGCAGTTTGCGGACTCTCCCTGAAAGGTTGTAAAAATAGTATAAATTTTCATTTTTCTGAGATGCCTTTCTATAGAAATATGAACAGGATAATCTCTAGGCACTGGGTGATGAACAACTTGGCAAGTGGAACTGTGTTTGAAAATAAAATTGGAAGAGGATTAGATAGAAGCAGACTAACGGTTCAGAATTCTGATCTTCATATTACATGATCGTTGCTTTGTATTCTTAGGCAAGGTTTTTTTTTAAAACCATTTTCCTAATTCCTGAAATGCCCACATGTTCCAGGGGACATGGCTGATTAACACCTAAGGAAACTCTCAGTAGTGTATTTAATGATTATGAAATGCTACATAAATTTTAAATAACAGATGTACTTTCTCACTCAACAGAATTGTCCTAAAGTTCTTTTGACATTCCAGAATACATTTGTCCATTTTCTGAAGTTGCCTGTGAAGACAACTGTGTTTCTGTGAAGGGGGAAATTGAGATCATCAGTTACATTTAATTTACTTAAAAAGGAATACTTGGTGTGTCACTAATTTAAGATAATAACCGTAGCAAGTTGTAACTGGTTTCAGGTTACCATCTTACTTCTCTCAAATACATTCATAGAAGAATATGATGACAGCATTGGCAGGACTTTGGAGGATGCCTGATTCCAACTTTTCATATTTAAGACAGAGAAAATAGAACCATGGGTTTCACAGCACCTGAAGAAGAACCAGGACTTCAAATGTACTGCTTATCCCATGGAATTAACCTTTCTATTTGGGAATCATTTTTGTCTAAAAAATTGATCAAAGGCAGTAAACTTGTGATTCATATGTTTACTTAGCCAAAGAACTTATCATTGTTTATATAACCTGTTGAAGTTAGGAACTACATCCTTTTAGGGGCTGGACTATGGTCATTCTGGTAGCTGCTTATTTTATTTTCTTAACATGTGTTGTGTATTATGAGAATCTGTACATAAACCTCAACAGCAGAATGAAATAAGAGCATGATGGTAAAGATTTACAGTGAGTTAAAGATTCATTCTGTCCTGTTGTTACAGTCCTATGGGGGTTGGTGGGAGAGTAGGAGGGTAAATATGATCACTGAGTTATACTTATTAGATGATAAATAAAATATAGTAAAGAGAGAAGACCTTAGGGATTAAGCTTGAGCATAATTACAAATTTAAATTTCATCTGAGACTCTCTGTGTCTTCAGACATTGTATAATAAAGAAATAATATGAGATATTTCTTTTCTAGCATAGATCTTATTTCAAACCATAACAGTGTATATGTACATATGCATCAAAAAACAGGTGTAATTAATTTATCAGAGCAATTATACTGTGCCTCCCCTTCCACATATGATTGAGGTTATTCTCTTTAAAGTGGTGAGTAAGGGAAGCTTTGACACTTATTTCAGGGATTCCACATTTAACCAAAAAGTTTTTAGAATGCTTTAATTAGATTTACCATACTAATCAATTTGTAATATCAGAAAAATCGGTTTCATTAAATCAGTGTGATAAAAAAAAGTTGCTTTTCACCATGATCACTTATACTGTACATACTTGCCCCTAAATAATGCTAGATATTTCCAAAACTTAAATTCACCCTCAGGAGATTTGCTACCATTAGTATGAAAGAAATTTATTATATTCTTTGAATGCAATTCCAAAAGAGGGGTTCCAAAAACTTTATGCAACAGCAGCACCATATTTGGAGGATAGATCTCCTAAAGATGAATTATGTCTGGTACGGATACTACTTTTTTCAACTTGAAGTATAATTTACATGGAGCCCTGGTGGCACAGTGGTTAAGCATTCAGCTGCTAACCAAAAGGTCGGCAGTTCAAATCCACTAGCCACTCCTTGGAAACCCTATGAGGCAGTTCTACTCTGTCCTATAGAATCACTATGAGTCAGAATCTACTCAACAGCAGTGGGTTTTATTTTGTTTTTTTATAATGAACAGATCATAAGCATCAGTTCAGTGAGTTTTGAAAATTGCATACGCTTGTGTAACGTGCCCCCCATCAAATTAGAGAACATTTCCATCACCGTAAGTTTTCTTGTGCTCCTTTCTATCATTCCCTGAATTAGATCTACTACAACCAAGGAAACCACTTGTCTTAGTTATCTAGGGCTGCTATAACAGAAATACCACAAGTAGATGGCTTTAACAAACAGAAATTTGTTCTCTCACAGTCTAGGAGGCTAAAAGTCCAAATTCAGGGTGTCGCTCCAGGGGAAGGCTTTCTCCTTCGGTCAGCTACCGGGGAAGAAGTTTGTCATCAATCTTCTCTGACTGAGGAGCTTCTTCGGGCAGGGACCCGGGGTCCAAAGGACGTACTGTTCTTCTGGATCTTGTTTCTTGGTGGTATGAGGTCCCCTTTCTCTCTGCTCACTTGTTTCTTTTATATCTCAAAGAGATTGACTCAGGACACAACCTTATCTTGTAGATTGAGTCCTGCCTGATTAACATAACGGCCTCTAATCCTCATTAACATCATAGAGGTAGGATTTATAACATATAGGAAAATCACATCAGATGACAAAATGATGGACAGTCACATAATCCTGGGAATCATGGCCTAACCAAGTTGACATACATTTTTAGGGGAAACAGTTCAATCCATAACAGCACTTTTCTGATTTCTTTCACTATTGATTAGTTATACCTGTTCTAGAGCTTCATATAAATGGCATTATATTGTCTGTAAATTATTTGCCCTCAGCATGTTTTTAACATGCATCCATGATGGTGCATGTATGGGCTGTTCATTTCTTTTTTAAAAAATTTTTTTAATTGTACTTTAGATGAAGGTTTACAGAACAAATAGTTTCTTATTAAACAGTACGCATATTGTTTTATGACGTTGGTTAACAACCCCAAGACATGTCAACCCTCTCCCTTCTCAACCTTGTGCTCCCTATTACCAGCTTTCCTGTACCCTCCTGCCTTCTAGTCGTTGTCCATGGGCTGTTGTGCCCCATTAGTCTCATTTTGTTTTATGGTGCTGTCTAATCTTTGGCTAAACGGTGAACCTCGGGATTGACTTCATTACTGAGCTAAAAGGGTGTCTGGTGGCCATACTCTTGGGGTTTCTCCAGTCTCTGTCAAGAAATAAGTCTGGTCTTTTTTTGTGAGTAAGAATTTTGTTCTACATTTTTCTCCAGCTATGTCTGGGACCCTCTGTTGTGATCCCTGTCAGAGTAGTCACTGGTGGTAGCTGGGCACCATCTAGTTGTACTGGACTCAGTGTGTTGGAGGCTGTGGTAGTTGCAGTCCATTAGTCCTTTAGACTAATCTTTCCTTTGTGTCTTGTTTTCTTCATTCTCCCTTGCTCCCGAAGGGGTAAGACCAGTGGAGTATCTTAGATGGCTGCTCACAGATTTTTAAGACCCCAGACACTACTCACCAAGGTAGAATGTTGAACATTTTCTTTATAAACTATATTATGCCAATTGAGCTAGATGTTCTCTGAGACCATGGTCCCCACAGCCCTCTGCCCAGCAATTCAGTCCCTCTGGGAGTTTGGATGTGCCTATGGAGCTTCCTTGACCTTTCTTTGTACAAGTTGTGCTGGCTTCCTCAGTACTGTGTACGGTCTTAACCTTCACCAAAGTTACCACTTATCTATTGTGTATTTAGTATTACCCACCCACCCCTCCCATCCCTTGTAAGAATCGAAGATTATTTCTTTTTGAGTGTAAACCTTTTCATGAGTTTTTACAATAGTGGTCTCATACAATATTTGTCCTTTTGTGATTGACTTACTTTACTCAGCATGTGTCCTCCAGTTTCATCCATGTTACGAGACGCTTTACAGATTCATCATTGTTCTTTATCGTTGCATTATACTCCGTTATGTGCATGTACCGTAGTTTGTTTATCCATACATCTGTTGATGGGCATCTAAGTTGTTTCTATCTTTTTGCTATTGTGAACAATGCTGCAATGAACATGGATGTGCATAAGTCTATTCGTGTGATGGCTGTTATTTCTCTAGGCTATATTTCTAGGAGTAGGATTGCTGGATCATATGGACTATTTCTAGCTTTCTAAGGAAGCGCTGTATCCTTTTCCAAAATGGTTGTATCATTTTTCATTCCCACCAGCAGTGCATAAGAGTTCCGATTTCCCCACAGCCTCTCCAACATTTGTTATTTCCAGTGTTTTTGATTCGTGCCAGTAATGCCGGGGTGAGACTGTATCTCATTGTGGTTTTGATTTGCATTTCTCTAATGGCTAGTGATCGCAAGCATTTCCCCGTGTGTCTGTTGGCCACTTAAATATCTTCTATAGTGAAGTGTCTGTTCATTTCCTTTGCCCATTTTTTAATTGGATTGTTTGTGTTTTTGTTGTAGAGGTGTTAGATTTCCTTTTAGATTTTAGAGATGAGACCTTTGACTTGTAATGACCAAAAATTTTTTCCCACTCTGTAGGTTCTCTTTTCACTCTTTAGGTGAAATCTTTTGATGAGAATAAATGTTTAATTTTTAGAAGATCCCAGTTATCTAGCTTCTCTTCTGGAGTTTGTGTTGTTGGTTATGGTTTGTACCCTGTTAATGCTGTATATTAGTGCCTCTAGTGTTGACCCTATTTTTTCTTCTCTGAACTGTATACTTTTTGGCTTTATTTATATTTAGGTCTTTGATCCATTTTGAATTAATATTTATATATAGTGTGAGGTATGGGTCCTGTTTCATTTTTTTTGCAGAAGGACATCCAGTTTGGCCAGCGCCATGTGTTGAAAAGACTGTCTGTTTCCCATTTGATGGACTTTGGGCCCTTGTCGAAGATCAGGTGACTGCGGGTGGATGGATTTACATCTGGGTTCTCAACTCTATTCCATTGGTCAATTTATCTGTCATTGTACCAGTACCAGCT